TGGTATGTTTTTCAGTTTTATTAGCTCCAAGAATCGCTACCGTCCTGACCAGGTGACGAATGTATTAGTGGATTTATGAGTGTGGACAGAATGGACGCATTACTCGGCAATATTAGAGACACAATAGATGGAGGCAACTATCAAGGGATATTTCCTGAAGTCAGCTTCACGTGTAATGGCAGTATTCAGTAATGGGAGGAAGGTGGGAAAGTAATGATGAGGAGTATATTGAGCTACAGATATGGAGACCTACTGGAGATGGAGTCTACACTAAAGTTGGATACACTACAATCATTGTAAATGGGCCAGCAGCACTCTACGAGTATCCTGTCTCCCCTCCCCTGGCCTTCCAGGCTGGGGATGTTCTAGGATACTACCAGCCCCAGCCTTCTCTGAGTCAACTGAGGGTACGGTTTGAGCAAGAGGGAAGAGAACCTCAACGTGGGTATCACTACTCTGGTCTAACCAGTCCAGCCAGTGTTCTGAATATTCCTCCAGGGACTGTGTCTGATGATCGATTTCAAATACTGGTCAATCTAATCATCATTATAATTATATAGGTGCTTTGATATGGTATTATTATGCAGTGAGGGAGTCTGCCCATTCTGTCTTGGTAGGTTTATTACAGTACGTTTCATACAGTCTGACATAATAATTATTGTTCCTAGCAGAAACCACCATCTTATGGTACCGAAGCACCAACACAAGTGGAGTCAGGTGTTAAAACATCACCTTTTCCTGAAATGAAACCAACACCCACAGTGCCTAGACAGTCCAGTACAACAGGAAGTGGTAACAGCCAGTAATGTTGCCTATCACTCAACCAGTGCTCAGCTGTCAGTGACACATGAGACCTCAGCTGTGGAGTACGACTATGTCTCCACCCACCAACCACACCCTGGCCACACCCACAGTACCAGTGGAGGAGGTGTGATCATCTCTAGTAATGAGGCGTATGGAGTCACATTGGCAGAAGACATGACTGAGAATGTGTCTTATGGTGCCGCTGGTCAGAATGATATGGAACTGAGTGGTAATGTGGCCTATGGTGTGTGTCACATTGCTGTCAGAGTAAACGATACTGCGGCCATTCCTAGTGGAGATGTCGCTAGTGTCCACCAACAGAAGGCCTATGGAATGCATCACAACTAGAAACTCTTTACATTTATACGTTCTGTGACAAAAACATTGAAAAGTGTAATGCTTAGTAAGTGTGCAGTATGTGTAAGAGGTTTTGGTAGACATAAGCAATAACCATGTTGATTCGCACCGTTTTTATCGCTCGTCCGCATGCGCATGCGCACCGGAAAAATAACCCGCCGCGGGTTGACCAACAGCTCGTTTTCTGACGGAGCACCACCAGTCATGAAGTGCGTTCTTTACGTTGTGTTGCAGGCGTGTGCTCTCGCTCTTCTCTGCAACACTTTGCCGGACCAAGAAGGTAGCTACACTAGCTGCCTACACTGACTGCTATTCAAATCGACTCGTATGCCTTTTTTTCAGGCAATGGCTGTACGAGTGGGTTTATGAGTGTGGACAGAATGGACCACTTGCTGGGCAATAAAGGCGGTGTGATCCCTAGTGAGAACTATCAGGGAATATTTCCAGAAGTCGGCTTCACGTGCAGTGGCAGTATTGAGGGCTGGGTGTTTGGAGCCCGGTGGGTAGGAGGGAATGACAGAGAGTTTACAGAACTACAGATATGGAGACCTACTAGAGATGGAGCCTACACTAAAGTTGGAAACACTACAATCAATACTGACAGGATCAGCTCGGGGTTCTACGAGTATCCTCTCTCCTCTCCACTGGACTTCCAAGCTGGCGACGTGTTAGGGTATTACCAACCCCATTCTGACCAGAGTCAGTTGAGATTGCAATTTGAAGATGGTGGACGAAGGAAAAATCAAACTGGCTATTACTACATTGGTTCGAGCTCAGCCAGTGATCTCTACCTACCTTGGGGAGCCATGTCTACCAGATATCAAATACTTGTTAATGTGATCACAAGTAAGTCGATTTTATGGTATATGATGAGTGTTGTTGCAAGTGACTGTTCAGATTCTACAGATTGTGTGAGAGGTTTTGTGAGTGTGGAGAGAATAAGGCTACTTCTGGGTGTGGATCCCACCTATGGCATCGAATACAACAGTCAACGTCAGCAGATCTCACCAGAGATAAAGATCACGTGTAATGGGTTAATTACCAAATGGATTATTGGAGCTGATTGGACTTCTAGTGTTAGTTCATACCTCTATCCTGAGCTTCAAGTCTGGAGGAATGTTGGAAATGAGACATATCGGAAAATGAGTGGAACTCATGTGTTTTTTCCTTTTAGTGCGAGAGCTAATAGAATTTATGAGTACACCAAATTTGCACCCATACCAGTTGAATCTGGGGATATTCTGGGAATATTTACACCCTCCCCTTCCAGACTTCGTCTCCGGTTTGAGAACGACAACAGTAACAATCCCAAAGTCTACTACCGTTCTACTGACAATTCTGCCACATCATCTCCTTATGAGGAGCTAGACAGACAGAATAATGATCCTTCGCTGGCAACAGCATCCTATTACCCCCTTGTGTCCTTGGAGATTGGTATGTAGCTCGCTTTAGTGCCTTTATCTGAAGTTTACATTTGCTTTGTTTTCTCCCAGAGAGATATCCGCCCTCATCAGTCTTGGTATGTGTGCACACAGTGTCCACGTGATGTTGACGTTCACATGAGACTCATAACTTTGCCAGTTATGATAGTACCACTAATTGTATGCGTAGTTCTCCCACTGCCCACTCATTCTCCTAATAGGCAGAGAGCACCTGGTGACTTCACTTCCCTTCTCACTCACCTCACTTCTCTTCCATCCTCTCAGATTCTTCCCAGCTCCTCGCTGATCTCCACAGCTACCAGCCCTCTCCCCACCTCCAGAGCTCCTATACCTTCCACTGACCAGCCCTCCTCTGGCCAGTCTTCAGCTGCCATTGCTGCTGGTGTTGGGTGGTGGAGTAGCGGTGGCTCTAGTTCTGCTGATGGTAGCCCTCCTCCTGGTCATTCTGGTAGTGTTGTTGTCATGAGAAGGAGACAGGACTCCAAACCACTGGAAAATGTGGAACATAAGGGTGGATTTAGCCCTCTGGGCAATCCAGTTTACACAGGCAAGCAGATTAGCATGATGCAAGCTAGAGTTACCAAACCACTTTATAGCTGACAGTCGTAAGGAGAACTAAGCCTGAAGGTTTTTTTGACTAAGTTTTGTGAGACTTGTTCAACAAACTTACACCAGTGCTGTGAAGAGAGAAGGACCTCAAGTTTTGTCTCTGCCCTTTTTAGTCTCTGCAAAGCAGAGCTTGGTGCACACGCGACGTTTTAGATTCACAAGCAGTTTTATGGTGTGGGTGTCGACATTGACCCGATTATGGGCAACTACATGTTTTTACTGAAAATGTTGAAATGTGCATGTGATTCCCTATGTCCATCCACCTGCCTCATGTATGGTAACACACACAAACACACACAGGTATATCAGGTTCAGGACGTGCTAGTGCAGCAACAGATCACGCACTGGGCGAGCTCTACGAGACTCCTCAGACCCAGGATGAGGGAGAGGCTGTGTATGATGCACCTTCACCTGAGAATGGCGGGGCCACTAATGCTAAAGAAGCCAGTACTACTTTTGCCAAGTTCGATAACCCGCTCTACGAGGATAACTGAACGTTTTTCATAGCGTTATTTTCTTTCCTCTTTTTGCACTAATTTTACTAGTTTTTTGTGAAAACTGCCACTTTTTGTAATGTTCATGGTATTATAGCGTGAGCGTTTGCACGTATACGTATTATGGTGGCGAAGTCCCCGGGGCGCATGCGCGCCGGAGGGCTGTGCGGACGTCCGGTAAGACTTTTATGCCTCTAGCGGCAAACACAACAACACAAAAGGCAGGGCTCGACGATGGAGCGATTTCTAACTTGTGTGTTACTGTGGCTGTGTGCTTTCGAACGTTTCTGTGACGGCCTGACTAATGGAGATGGTATGTTTTTCAGTTTTATTAGCTCCAAGAATCGCTACCGTCCTGACCAGGTGACGAATGTATTAGTGGATTTATGAGTGTGGACAGAATGGACGCACTACTCGGCAATACAGGACGCACAATGGATAGTGGCAACTTTCAAGGGATATTTCCTGAAGTCAGCTTCACGTGTAATGGCAGTATTCAGAGATGGGTGTTAGGAGCAAAGTGGGAAGGACATGATGAGGAGTATATTGAGCTACAGATATGGAGACCTTCTGGAGATGGAGTCTACACTAAAGTTGGATACACTACAATCATTGTGAATGGCCCAGCAGCACTCTATGAGTATCCCGTCTCCCCTCCCCTGGCTTTCCAAGCTGGGGATGTTCTGGGGTACTACCAGCCCCAGCCTTCTCGGAGTCAACTGAGGGTACAGTTAGAGCAAGAGGGAAGAGAACCTCAACTTGGGTATTACTACTCTGGTCCAACCAGTCCAGCTAGTGTTCTGAATATTCTTCCAGGGTCTGTGTCTGATGATCGATTTCAAATACTGGTCAATGTAGTCACAGGTATATTAGTATATAGTCACAGGTATAAATTATTATAAGCGTGTCTCTGCTAATATGCAGATCCTCCAGGTTGTGGGTGTGGCTTTATGAGTGTGGAAAGAATGAGATATTTGTTGAATGTGGACACAGTCTCAAGTCTGATAGCCCCCAGTCAACGTCAGCAGATCTCACCAGAAATGAGGTTCACATGTGATGGGAACATTACCAAATGGATCATTGGAGCTGAATATGGTGAGGATGGCAACTTGTATCCTGAACTTCAATATGGAGAAATGCTGGAGATGAAACCTATAGGAAAATCAACGGCACATTCATTGAGTTACAGACACCAGTGTCAAGTAGAATTTATGAGTATGAGGACTTTTCTCCAATCCCAGTGAAATCTGGAGACATTCTTGGAATATTCTTACCTTTTTTCACCTCGTCCAGACTTCGTCTCGCATCTGAGATAGCTAGCAGTCCTGCTCAGCACTACATATTCACTGGTGTTAGTGCATCATCATCACCTTATGATGAGATTGATTTAGAACAGGATTCTGTGACAAGAGGAGCCTATCATCCCTTGGTGTCTGTGGAATTTGGTGAGGCAATCTAATCATCCATATAGGTGCTTTGATATGGTATTATTATGCAGTGAGGGAGTCTGCCCATTCTGTCTTGGTAGGTTTATTATAGTACGTTTCATAGAGTCTGACATAATAATTGTTCCTAGCAGAACCACCATCTTATAGTACTGAAGCAGTAGAGTCAGGTGTTAAAACATCACATTTTCCTGAAGTGAAACCAACACCCACAGCACCTACACAGTCCAGTACAACAGGAAGTGGAGTTTATATTGGTGTGGGTGTGGGAGTGGTGGTGCTGATAGCTGCAGGTCTCATCCTCATCTCTGTGACTGTCTGTCTCAGACGAAGGTCAAAGAAAAAGAAGCTAGTGGTAACAGCCAGTAATGTTGCCTATCACTCAACCAGTGGTCAGCTATCAGTGACACATGAGACCTCAACTGAAGAGTATGACTATGTCTCCACCCACCAACCACACCAACCACACCCTGGCCACACCCACAGTCCCAGTGGAGGAGGTGTGATCATCTCTAGTAATGAGGCGTATGGAGCCACATTGGGAGAAGACATGACTGAGAATGTGTCTTATGGTGCCGCTGGTCAGAATGATACGGAGCTGAGTGGTAATGTGGCCTATGGTGTGTGTCACACTGCTGTCAGAGAACATAGAGACAACGATGCCATGATTCCTATATAGTGATGTGTCTGGAGATGTTGCCAACAAGGCCTACGGAGTGCATCACAACTAGAAACTCTTTAAATTTATGTTCTGTGACAAAAACATTGAAAAGTGTAATGGTTAGTAAGTGTGCAGTATGTGTAAGAAGTTTTGGTAGACATAAGCAATAATTTATCGCTCGTCCGCTTGCGCATGCGCACCGGCGAAACAACGAGTAAAACCCGCCGCGGGTTTATAATACGCTCCCCACGAACCAACAGCTCGTTTTCTGACGGAGCACCACCAGTCATGAAAGGCGTTCTTTACGTTGTGTTGCAGGCGTGTGCTCTCGCTCTTCTCTGCAACACTTTGCCGGACCAAGAAGGTAGCTGCACTAGCTGCCCACACTGACTGCTATTCAAATCGACCCTTTTTTTCAGGCGATGGCTGTACGAGTGGGTTTATGAGTGTGGACAGAATGGACGACTTGCTGCGCAATGATGGCAGTGTGATCCCTAGTGAGAACTATCAGGGAATATTTCCAGAAGTCGGCTTCACGTGCAGTGGCAGTATTGAGGGCTGGGTGTTTGGAGCCCAGTGGGTAGGAGGGAATGACAGAGAGTTCACTGAGCTACAGATATGGAGATCTACTGGAGATGGGGGCTACACTAAAGTTGGAAACACTACAATAAATACTGAAAGCAAATATCGTGGATTCTACAAATATCCCCTCTCCTCTCCACTGGACTTCCAAGCTGGCGATGTGTTAGGGTACTACCAACCCCATTCTGACCAGAGTCAGTTGAGATTGCGATTTGAAGATGGTGGACGAAGGAAAAATCAAACGGGCTATTACTACATTGGTTCGAGCCCAGCCAGTGACCTCTACCTACCGTGGGGAGCAATGTCTACCAGATATCAAATACTTGTTAATGTGATCACAAGTAAGTCGATTTTACGGTATATGAGGAGTGTTATTTGTGAGTGACTGTATAATTTGACAGATTCTACAGATTGTGTGAGAGGTTTTGTGAGTGTGGAGAGAATAAGGCTACTTCTGGGTGTGGATTCCACCTATGGCATCGAATACAACAGTCCACGTCAGCAGATCTCACCAGAGATAAAGATCACGTGTAATGGGTTAATTACCAAATGGATTATTGGAGCTGATTGGACTTCTAGTGTTAGTTCATACCTCTATCCTGAGCTTCAAGTCTGGAGGAATGTTGGAAATGAGACATATCGGAAAATGAGTGGAACTCATGTGTTTTTTCCTTTTAGTGCGAGAGCTAATAGAATTTATGAGTACACCAAATTTGCATCAATACCAGTTGAATCTGGGGATATTCTGGGAATATTTACACCCTCCCCTTCCAGACTTCGTCTCCGGTTTGAGAACGACAACAGTAACAATCCCAAAGTCTACTACCGTTCTACTGACAGTTCCGCCACATCATCTCCTTATGAGGAGCTAGACAGACAGAATAATGAGCCTTCACTGTCAACAGCATCCTATTACCCCCTTGTGTCCTTGGAGATTGGTATGTAGCTCGCTATAGTGCCTTTATCTGAAGTTTACACTTTCTTTGTTTTCTCCCAGAGAGATATCCGCCCTCATCAGTCTTGGTATGTGTGTGCACACAGTGTCCACGTGATGTTGATGTTCACATGAGACTCATAACTTTGATGGTTATGATAGTACCACTAATTGTATGCATAGTTCTCCCACTGCCCACTCATTCTCCTAATAGGCAGAGAGCACCTGGTGACTTCACTTCCCTTCTCACTCACCTCACTTCTCTTCCATCCTCTCAGATTCTTCCCAGCTCCTCGCTGATCTCCACAGCTACCAGCCCTCTCCCCACCTCCAGAGCTCCTGTACCTTCCACTGACCAGCCCTCCTCTGGCCAGTCTTCAGCTGCCATTGCTGCTGGTGTGGGTGGTGGAGTAGCTGTGGCTCTGGTTCTACTGATGGTAGCCCTCCTCCTGGTCATTCTGGTGGTGTTTGTCAAGAGAAGGAGACAGGACTCCAAACCACTGGAAAATGTGGAACATAAGGGTGGATTTAGCCCTCTGGGCAATCCAGTTTACACAGGCAAGCAGATTAGCATGATGCAAGCTAGAGTTACCATATCACTTCATAGCTGACAGTCGTAAGGAGAACTAAGCCTGAAGGTTTTTTTGACTAAGTTTTGTGAGACTAGTTCAACAAACTTACACCAGTGCTGTGAAGAGAGAAGGACCTCGAGTTTTGTCTTGCGTATGTGCAAAGCAGAGCTTGGTGCACACGCGACGTTTTAGATTCACAAGCAGTTTTATGGTGTGGGTGTCGACATTTCTGACACGATCATGGCCAACTACGTGTTCTTACTGAAAATGTTGAAATGTGCATGTGATTCCCTGTGTCCATCCACCTGCCTCATGTATGGTAACACACACAAACACAGGTATTTCAGGTTCAGGACGTGCTAGTGCAGCAACAGATCACACACTAGGCGAGCTCTACGAGACTCCTCAGACCCAGGATGAGGGAGAGGCTTTGTATGATGCACCTTCACCTGAGAATGGCGGGGCCACTAATGCTAAAGAAGCCAGTACTACTTTTGCCAAGTTCGATAACCCGCTCTACGAGGATAACTGAACGTTTTTATAGCTTTATTTTCTTTCCTCTTTTTGCCCTAATTTTACTAGTTTTTTGTGAAAACTGCCACTGTTTGTAATGTTCATGGTATTATAGCGTGAGCGTTTGCACGTATACGTATTATGGTGGCGAAGTCCCCGGGGCGCATGCGCGCCGGAGGGCTGTGCGGACGTCCGGTAAGACTTTTATGCCTCTAGCGGCAAACACAACAACACAAAAGACAGGGCTCGACGATGGAGCGATTTCTAACTTGTGTGTTACTGTGGCTGTGTGCTTTCGAACGTTTCTGCGACAGCCTGACTAATGGAGATGGTATGTTTTTCAGTTTTATTAGCTCCAAGAATCGCTACCGTCAATTGACCAGGTGACGGATGTATTAGTGGATTTATGAGTGTGGACAGAATGGACGCACTACTCGACAATACAGAAGACACAATGGATAGTGGCAACTTTCAAGGGATATTTCCTGAAGTCAGCTTCACGTGTAATGGCAGTATTCAGAGATGGGTGTTAGGAGCAAAGTGGGAAGGACATGATGAGTATATTGAGCTACAGATATGGAGACTTACTGGAGATGGAGTCTACACTAAAGTTGGATACACTACAATAAATACTACCAGGAGTAATTCAGAACTCTATGAGTATCCCCTCTCCCCTCCCCTGCCCTTCCAAGCTGGGGATGTTCTGGGGTACTACCAGCCTGAGCCTTCTCGGAGTCAACTGAGGGTACGGTTTGAGCAAGAGGGAAGGGAACCTCAACGTGGGTATCACTACTCTGATCCAACCAGTCCAGCCAGTGTACTGAATATTCCTCCGGGGTCTTTGTCTGATGATCGATTTCAAATACTGGTCAATGTAGTCACAGGTATATTATTTCAGTGTATATAGTCACAGGTATAATAATATTATACGTGTGTCTCTACTAATATGCAGATCCTCCAGGTTGTGGGTGTGGCTTTATGAGTGTGGAGAGAATGAGATATTTGTTGAATGTGGACACAGTCTCAAGTTTGACAGTCCACAGTCAACGTCAGCAGATCTCACCGGAAATGAGGTTCACATGTGATGGGAACATTACCAAATGGATCATTGGAGCTGAATATGATAATAGAGACAATTTGTATCCTGAACTTCAAATATGGAGGAACGCTGGAAATGAGACATATTGGAAAATCAACGGCACATTCATTGAGTTACAGACACCAATGTCAAGTAGATTTTATGAGTATGAGGACTTAATCCCAGTGAAATCTGGAGACATTCTTGGAATATTTTTACCTACATTCAGCTCTTCCAGACTTCGCCTCTTATCTGAGTTAGCTAGCAGTCCAGCTCAGTACTACCTCTCACTTTTTTCATCACCATCATCACCTTACGATGAGATTGATTTAAAACAGGATTCTGTGACTCGAGGGGCCTATCATCCTTTGGTGTCTGTGGAATTTGGTAAGTCACTTGCTACACTACATACTATTTATTCACAGGCATTGTTTTCTTCTCTAGTGAAAGCCCCTACTTCATCAGTTATGGTATGTGTGTGATATTTGCTGTTATATGGCATAACCGTGACAGTCATGCTTACCTTCAATCACCAATAACACACATCACTTAGTTAGCTACCGCTCTGTTTCCTTCCTCTCAGATTATTCCCAGCTCCTCGCTGGTCTCCACAGCTACCAGCCCTCTCCCAACCTCCAGAGCTCATGTACCTTCCACCGAGCAGCCCTCCTCCTCCTCTGGCCAGTCTTCAGCTGCCATTGCTGCTGGTGTGGGTGGTGGAGTGGCTGTGGCTCTAGTTCTACTGATATTGGTCCTCGTCCTTGTCATTCTGGTGGTGTTTGTCAGTAGAAGAAAGCTGAAAGGAAAGCCCCAAGCAGTGGAGCAGGGGAAGGATAGAGATGATGGCAGTGCTATGGACAACCCAGTTTACACAGGCAAGCCCTGGCATGTTAAGTTAGCTTGGCTTTGCCCTGTCAGACACATGCCTTTACTCTCCACATCCTTCTAGATTTACACATTGTTGACACTGAAGTAGAGTACTATAGCTACATCATAGGTTTCCTTGATTGAAGACATACATTACACTTACACACACAACAGCTACAGTTTCAGGTGCAGGCCCCACTATACCACTGGAAGAACTCTATGACCTCCCTGGACGGGATCAGGGAAAGGGAGACGGTGTGTATGATCTACCTTCTGAAAATGGCGGAGTCTATAGTGAAGTCACTAAGACTGAAGAGCCCCCTCCTTCACCTGGTGAATATGCCAGATTTGATAACCCACTATATGACACTACATAGCTGATTTTACACATCACAGTGTGTTTTCCCATTTTATGTATTTAAGATTAATTTATGGAGTGACTTCGTTGTATCAGACCTATATACCAGACAGTTATTAACCCTCGGCGCGCATGCGCAGCGAGGGTTACAGTAGTTACCCTCGGCGCGCATGCGCAGCGAGGGTACTGTAGTTGGGTTTGTCTGTGTGTGTGTGTGTCTGTCTGTTACTCTCAATCTCACTTCTCGAATGTCTGTTCGTCTCACAAACGATACGACCTACTTAACGGGCAATGAAGGTCAGAAATTTCGAACGGTTTTCTCTGAAAATGCTCCGTTGCAAAGCTAGAGCGCTTCCACATTGTATGGCTAATGCCGGTAGTCGCCATTTTATCGCTGGCGGATAATGCGCATGCGCTTATATTTGGCACAGGCTTACCTCGACAGGGTCCGCTTGCTCTGTCTATCTTGAAGGCACAATAAGTCACAACGAATTGCGTGTATCGACTCTCGCGTGCTATCTACTACTGTAGCTAGCTCGTGTCAGACTCTCTGCGAGCTACTTCGCCGAGGGTTTGCACTTTAGTGCTTTTCATTGGGTTTGTCTGTCTGCTGTCTGTCTGTTACTCTCAATCTCATTTCTCGGGTGTTTGTTCGTCCCAGAAACGATACCATCTACCCAACAGGCGACGAAGGTCAGAAGATATGTGGGGTTTTCTCTGAAAATGCTCCGTTACAGAGCTAGAGCGCTTCCACCATTGTACAGCTAATGCGTAGTCGGCCATTTTTATCGCTGCGGAAATGCGCATGCGCTTATATCCTCGACCGGGCCGCTTGCTCTGTCTGTGTATCTTGAAGGCACAAGAAGTCACAACGAAGGGCGTGTATCGATTCTCGCATACTATCTACTACTGTAGCTAGCCCGTGTCAGACTCTCTGCGAGCTACTAGCGGGAGACCACGAGTCGAGTAAACGCATACTAATAGCAGCCCAGCCCATCAATTAGCGGTATATACCGCGCATCCCCAGTTCGCCGAGGGTTTGCACTTTAGTGCTTTTCATTATACGTGCAAGCGAGCGCGTATATCGCGCGCGCATAAGTTTCGCGGATATAAACAGGTGAGAAGGCAGGTGGCTTGCGACGGAGTGTGCGCGTCGAATATGGAGAACCTAACCCGTGTGTTACTGTGTGCGTGTGCTCTCGCTCTTTTCTGTCAGTGTGTGTACCCAGTGGGTAGAACAGAACAGCTTTTTCACAGAGCTACAGATATGGAGACCTACTGGAAATGGAGTCTACACTAAAGTGATTGAGGGTGTCCATGTTTATGCCCAACCTAGGTTATGTGTCTGAGTGGTAGCTAAGGCAGGCACTGTCCTTATGTCTTGTTCTCCGCCCAGTGTTCAGTGCATGGTTAATAGCTGCAGCTATTATAATTATTATTATTGCAGATTCTACCATCATCTATTATTAGAGGTCAAAGCACTGTTGAGTCAGGTGTGTTACATATTTTCCTGCTGAAACTAAAACTAACACTCACAAAATCCACAGCACCCACACAGACAGGTACAACAGGAAGCAGTGGTGTTCCTTCTTCAATCTCAAGTCTTACACCCACGGCACCCACTGAACTACCTCTCTGTTTTTAACAACAAACATTTGCTGCTATTGCAGTGATTTTGTCACTAGAAATACTAAAGAGCAAATTAACCTCAGAGTGCTAAGTCAGTTGGTAAAATTCTGTGCCCAGGTCTCTCCCTATTGTGTAAGGGATCGCCCACGTCCTCAGCTGGCGTAGTGTTTGTCCGAGATTACATTTAGAGACCTACACTGTTTGAGGCGGCCGAGATCAAAGGCCCGAGCTAGCTTCGTCAGCTGGACAGGGATTTCCGGTCGGCGACAACAAAGAAAAGCGGCAGACCGGGTTTTACGCGAGAAACGTGTGCCAGGAAAGTCTCATCCGCGCTCGGGGTCTGGTCCTATATACTCTGAGCTGCCTGGACACTGCATCGCTCCACCGGAGAGTAAAGGGAATGGCTTGGAGAGCTGGCGTTATCCGCTGCGCGGCAGCAGCATTATTTTTGATGCTGAGTTCGGTGAGTTGCTAGTTCTCGTGTGTGTGTGCGCGGAGACAGGGGAATGCAAAGTGTTCTAGCAATGCAAGTAAGAACAGAGAACGTAGAGAACGGCGGCGACCGGGCTATTTGTGCAATGCATTAGTAACTACACCAAACGCCCTATGCATAGAAACATAGCGAGCTATTGAATGCATTGATGTGACGTGACGCATTTCACACAGTGGTCGCCTCCTCTTCCAGGTAATGTCGACAGTGGAGGGTAACTACACGCTAGAGATTTTGATGCTGAGCTATGAAAATCCTTCTCACATGGCAAAATCACTGGAGAACTTTAGGCTTGGATGTTGTGAGCTGGACACGACAACTCCATGCAGGCCTTGTGACAATGCCTTCCGTGTGTGTGTTCGGAACATCCCTACTATTGAGGGTGACTGCGATCTAAATCAGCAGGATAGCACGCTAATTGCAGAAGATGACGATGATCTGATGTTCACCATAGGAGACGATATTGGAGGACTCTCTAATCCCATCACAGTGTCTGGGGAGATGTGGGTATGTGGTCTAATTGTCAGAGAGGGAGGTCGTTTCCCTTTGCTGCATGTTCCTACTTAAAAAGTATGCTTGGTCAGATTTGTATGGTTTGGCAAGCTCAACAAATCCACTCGTTCATCAGTCCTCTCTGTCTCTTGGTATAGGGAAAAGTTGAGGTGGTGTTCACTGTATTTGACCTCGACCCTGACGTCCACAATAGAGTCCTCTTCAGATATAGTGGACAATATAGTCATCTATCCTAATATACCTGCCGTTTCTTCAGCTAACGACCCGTTCTCTGATCCAATGCTCTTCTCTGGCAATGCCAGCTACTCTCACCTCGAGCTAGCATTCAGACTGACGTGCGGTCCAGACTCCTACGGCCCAGACTGTACCTTCTGTGTTCCCACCAACGACAGCACCGGACACTACAGTTGTAACAATGTCACAGGAGAGAAGAAGTGTCTGGACGGCTACCAGAGACGAGAGTGTAATGATTGTGTTCCAGCCAAGACATGCAGTGAGAGACTATCTCTGTGCATGTCTCCACATAGTCTGTCTGTCACCGTACAGGTCCTGAGAGAGGCTACTGTGAAGACCCAGGGGACTGTGTATGCTATCCTGGGTTCTCTGGAGACGACTGCAGTGAGTACACGACACTCCCATTGGTAGCTATTGGTTTCAGTGTGTCCCTCTCTCACCGGTCCTAGGTGAGCTAGTGTGCAGTGGCCAGATTTGCAACAGTAGCTCTTGCAAACGGGAACACAAATTTCTCAGCTACACTTGTGGACAGGAGTGTGTGGTGAGTACCACCGACCATGGCATGTTAGTCCAGCCTAGTTTCTCTAATTATTATACAAATTTTTATGTGCCGAGTTGACTAACTGCCGATTCATTATAGGCATACCAACTCACATCAAACAAACGTTTCTCCAGACCCAACCACAGCATGTGCAGAAGCAATTATTTTTGTCAAGCCCAGTTGAGTAGAACTACAAAGATAACTCAGACAGCTAATTGCCTGTCTCAGCAATTGATGTTGATGCAGAGCCTTTTCCCTTACAGAACGATACCTGTGAGTGCCAGGAGTGCCCGTGTGAAGTGGAGTGTGGGGAGAACGGAGAGTGTGTGAGGAGAGAGGAAGGTGACACCTGTGAATGCAGTGAAGGCTACAGATACAATGGAGAACTTTGTGAAACTATTCCCACCACTGCCACACGTGAGTTGTGCAATAGGAAGTGGTGTTTCTTCTTCAGCCCTGACCATTGCTACACCCACAAAATCCACTACTGCCACAGAGTCTGGTACAACAGGAAGTGAAGTGTATATTTTTGTAGGAGTGAGTGTGGGAGTGGTGGTGCTGATAGCTGCAGGTCTCATCCTCATCTCTGTGACTGTGTGTCTCAGACAAAGGTCAAAGAAGAAGCTACTAATCAATACTGAAAATGTTGCCTATGGCAAGGGTCTGGAATTGAAAGACAACGCTGCCTACACCTCCACAGTCACTGGGGGTGGGACTAAGGATGATGAGGGAAACTACGACTATGTCTCAAGGGATGAAGTAACTGCTACCTCCAGCAATCTCTCCATGTCAGCCAACCAGGCATATGGACTGTTGCAGAGCTAGGAACTTGTAGTTTTGTGATTCTTGACTTCATCACGTTTCCCACGAGTCAGCGCGCGCATGCGCAACAAAGTTTCGCGGACGACGGTCATAAAAAAGAAAGGTCACAGTGCAGTACAGTGTAGTGCGTCGGAGATGTTAACCCGTGTGCTATTGAGTGCGTGCGCTCTCGCTCTTTTCTGCGAGTGTATGACTGAAGGAGACGGTATGCGATTTTTAGCCGTAGCTAGCCAGCTCTCGATTGGTCTTTCCCCAGGTGATGGTTGCACTCGCGGGTTTATGAGTCTTGACAGAATGGATAGATTACTGGGAAATATTGGGACCCAAGCAGTTGCTAGCAACTTTCAATTAATATATCCTGAAGTTAGCTTCACATGCAATGGCAGTATTCAGAGCTGGGTGTTTGGAGCCCAGTGGGAAGGAGGAGAGAGCTTTTTCACAGAGCTACAGTTATGGAGACCTACTGGAGATGGAGTCTACACTAAAGTTGGATACACTACAATCAATACTGCCAGGAGTAATTCAGAACTCTATGAGTATACCCTCTCTCCTCCCCTGGCCTTCCAAGCTGGGGATGTTCTGGGATACTACCAGCCCCAGCCTTCTCTGAGTCAGTTGAGACTGCTGCTTGTACAAGATGGAAGAGAGAGTCAAGTTGGATACAGGTATTCCAGAAGTAGTCCAGCCAGTTTGCTGAATATCACTTTAAGATTTGAGTCTATTAGGTTTCAGTTGTTTGTCAACGTAGTCACAGGTAAGTATTGTATTTTCCTTGCTCAGTGGGGTAAACCTAATCTGCATCAGATCCTCCAGGTTGTGGGCGTGGCTTCATGAGTGTTGAAAGAATGAGACTTTCCCTAAACCTGGACTCTGTTTCACCCATTATATACACCGTTCAACGTCAGCAGATCTCACCAGAAATGAGGTTCACATGTGATGGGAACATTACCAAATGGATCGTTGGAGCTGACTATGCTCCAAGTGACAGCTTGAACTATGGAGGGAATGACATCTTGTATCCTGAACTTCAAATATGGAGAAAAGCTGGAGATGAAACCTATGATAAGATTAGTGGAACATTTATTGAGGCTCCAACATTAGTGAACACTAGGATTTATGAATATGATAACTTCTCCCCGATCCCAGTAAAGTCTGGAGACATTCTTGGAATATTTATACCTCGACATGCCTTCTCCAGACTTCGTATCTTGTCTGAGAATACTACCAGTCCCACTCAGTATTATCAGTTCACTGATGCCTTTGCCGCAGTATCACCTCACAATGTGTTTGACATAGGAAACCAGTTTGTGAGAACATCATCCTACCATCCGTTGGTGTCTGTGGAGTTTGGTAAGCATCTTGACGTTAAATATTCATCGAAATAACTTTCACTTTTCCCCAGTGAGAAGTCCTACCTCATCAGTCATGGTAAGTGAGAAGACATAAAGTTAGTGTATAGGTTCATAGTAGGTAATCCTTACCTTATGTTACCGCCCACTCAAATGTAGGCAGATACTAGTGACTTCATTTCCTTTGCCCATTTACCAACAGTCTCCTTCCTCTCCAGATTATATCCAGCTCCTCACTGGCTTCCACGGTTACCAGCCCTCTCCCCACCTCCAGAGCTCCTGTACCTTCCACCGACCAGCCCTCCTCCTCCTCCTCTGGCCAGTCTTCAGCTGCCATTGCTGCTGGTGTTGGTGGTGGGGTGGCTGTGGCTCTAGTTCTACTGATATTGGTCCTCGTCCTTGTCATTCTGGTGGTGTTTGTCAAAAAAAGAAAGCAGAAAGGAAAGCCTCAAGCAGTGGAGCAGGGGAAGGATAGAAATGGTGGCAGTGCTATGGACAACCCTGTTTACACAGGCAAGTCAGAGTGTAGTGCACCATAGATACTGTGTACCTCATTAGATGTTGGGGGGCTTTAGTCCTTAAGCTTTATGGTTCTGCTACATACCATGTGCCGTATATACTTAGGAATGAGCAACTTGATATGCACCCTAACTGGAACTTTCAGTTTGTTAATCTCTAAGGCATTATTATCTCACATGGATGATACATATTATGTACACAGGTGTGGCTTCAGGTGCAGACCCTACTGCAGCCACTATACCATTGGAAGAACTCTATGACCTCCCTGGACGGGATGAGGGAAGGGGAGACGGTGTGTATGATCTACCTTCTGAAAGTGGCGGAGTCTATAGTAAAGTCACTAAGACTGAAGAGCCCCCTCCTTCACCTGGTGAATACGCCAAATTTGATAACCCACTATATGACACTACATAACTGATTTTACACATCACAGTGTGTTTTCCATTTTCAATATGGATTGACTTCGACACACGTCGTGCAAGCAAGCGTGGCGCGCGCATGCGCTACCGAAGTTTCGAAGGCAGGCGGAGGGCTTGCGACGACAGTGCTGGTGTGCGTCGGACATGGACCAATTATTGTTAACCCGTGTGTTACTGAGTGCGGGTGCTCTCGCACTTTTGTCCCAGTGTATGACTGAAGGAGACGGTATGCGATTTTTAGCCGTAGCTAGCCAGCTCTCGATTGGAATATCTTTCCCCAGGTGATGGTTGCACTCGTGGGTTTATGAGTCTTGACAGATTACTGGACAATATTGGGACCCGAGTATTTGCTAGCAACTTTTCAAGTAATATATCCTGAAGTCAGCTTCACATGTAATGGCAGTATTCAGAGCTGGGTGTTTGGAGCCCAGTGGGAAGGACAGAACATCTTTTTCACAGAGCTACAGATATGGAGACCTACTGGAGATGGAGTCTATACACTACAATCAATACTGCCAGGAGTAATTCAGAACTCTATGAGTATCCCCTCTCCCCTCCCCTGGCCTTCCAAGCTGGGGATGTTTTGGGATACTCCAGCCTGAGCCTTTCCTGAGTCAATTGAGTCTGCTGCTTGTACAAGATGGAAGCAACTTGAATATGTGTATTCTAGAACTGCTCCAGCACGTTTGCTGGATATCAATTCAGGAAGTAGGTCTATTAGGTTTCAGTTGTTTGTCAACGTAGTCACAGGTAAGTATTTTATTTTCCTTGCTCAGTGGGGTAAGCTTAATCCACCAGATCCTCCAGGTTGTGGGCGTGGCTTCATGAGTGTTGAAAGAATGAGACTTTCCCTAAACCGGGACTCTGTTTCACTGCCCATTATATACACCGTTCAACGTCAGCAGATCTCACCAGAAATGAGGTTCACATGTGATGGGAACATTACCAAATGGATCATTGGAGCTGACTATGGTGCAGAGGACACCTTTATCCTGAGCTACAAAGTATGGAGAAAAGCTGGAGATGAAACCTATAATAAGATTAGTGGAACATTTATTCGGGCTCCAACATTAGTGAATACTAAGATTTATGAATATGATAACTTCTCCCCGATCCCAGTAAAGTCTGGAGACATTCTTGGAATATTTACACCTCGACATGCCTCCTCCAGACTTCGCCTCTTGTCTGAGGATACTACCAGTCCCACTCAATATTTTATGGCCACTGATGAGTCTGCCACAGTATCACCTCACAATGTGTTTGACATAGGAAACCAGTTTGTGATAACATCATCCTACATCCATTGGTGTCTGTGGAGTTTGGTAAGCATCTTGCACGTTATATATAAAATCGAAATAACTCCTTCACTTTTCCCCAGTGAGAAGTCCTACACTCATCAGTCATGGTATGTTTGTGATTGAGGGTGTCCATGTATTTATGCCCAACCCAGGTTAAAATGTGTATGTGCCTGAGTGGTAAGGCAGGCACTGTCGATAGTTCCCTTAGGTCTTGTTTCCGCCTAGTGCATGGTTAGTAGCGTAGCTAGTGCTATTCATTATTGCAGATTCTACCATCATCTATTATTAGAGGTCTAAGCACTGTTGAGTTCAGGTGTTTAGATCTTTTCCTGCTGAAACTAAAACTAACACTCACATACCACAGCACCCACACAGGCAGGAAGTCGTGTTCCTTCTTCAATCTGCAAGTCTTACACCCCAGGCAGAAGTCCAAACTGAAGTGGTGTGTGTTCCTTCTTCAGCCCTGACCATTGCTACACCCACAAAGTCCACTTGCTGCCACAGAGTCTGGTACAACAGAAGTGAAGTGTATATTTGTTGTAGGAGTGAGTGTTTGGTTGTGGTGCTGATAGCTACAAGTCTCATCATCATCTCTGTGACTGTGTGTCTCAGACAAAGTCAAAGAGAAGCTACTAATCATACTGAAAATGTTGCCTATGGCAAGGGTCTGGAATGAAAGACACGTTGCCTACACCTCCACAGCCACTGAAGCGATA